ATTTTTATGTTTAGATGCATTTAAACTGGTCAAATTGTATTTTAGAGAACAATAAAATTAAATTTTGTTTGATTAAAACCCTGCTAACATGGAAGTACCCAAGAATCATTTGAGGCACATAATGCTTTATGAGTTCAAGAAAGGAAACTCAGCAGCCGAAGAGGCTAGAAACATTCACTCAGTTTATTGGAAAATGGTTGCCTCATGAATTGTCTGAAAACAACCTCAAATCCTTAGTTGACATCTGCTCTTTCTCCATTCTCGCCAACTTGTTTCACCTTTTTTGGATAGACTTGTGACTGGCGACGAAAAATGGATCTTTTATGGAAATGTTAAGCGTCGGAGACAGTGGCTTGGTAAAGGGGAAGGACCCCAGCCACAGCCGAGAAGGGAACTTCGTGGGCAAAAGATTCTTCTTTCAATCCACTTTGAATTCTTACCACCTAATGCAACAATTAATGCTCAAGTATACTGTCAGCAATTAGAGCCTTTGAACCAAGCTTTGAGGAAAAAAGACCTGCTCTATTAAATCGAAAAGTGGTGATGTTTCATCAGGACAATGCGCGACCCCACACAGCAAGAATCACGTCACAAAAGATCGAAGAACTTGGTTGGGAGAAAATTCCTCATCCACCTTATTCTCCGGATCTTACTCCTTCAGACTACCATTTGTTTCGTAGCTTACAGAATCATTTGGAAGAAACAGCTTTTGTAACACAGGAAGAGGTTAAAACTGACATTTTTGAGTTTTTTGAATCAAAGCCAAAAGAATTTTACAGTAATGGAATTAGTAAGCGTATTAATAGATGGAAGGAAGTCATAGATAATCAGGGAAAATACATTGTTGATTGAATGTGTAATTAAATGCAACATTTGGTCAATTGTTTTCTTTATTCAAAACTAATGGTATGGTCTGATAAAAAAAAGTATAAAAATACATTTGTATAGCAAAATTACCAGTAATACATTTTTATAGAGAAATTGCCAACAATACATTTTTATCATATTCAAACTATATATATTTCAAACTAACATACCTTTACCCTGAAAGTAGAAAATCATGTACAAAATATCTGTGACCAACGTCATAAAATTGTATACAAAATATTTAAATTTCGGCATTAAAAGACCCATAGAAGTGTTGATATTCCGCTAAAGAAGAACAACCAAACAAACTGATTATTTTTTCATATATTGGGATAATTTTGATTAAAGTTCGTATTTATTTGATTTCAGATGAAAACTTGGATGGTTTTTAAAATGTTTAAATTCACAAACTTAAAATGTCACCGTACCAAACCGGATCTTTAAACTGGAAATATAAACTGCCTTATCAGCTAACCGCTATAACAAAAAATTTTATTCCCTCTCCTTGGAACAATCAGATCATCCGATATAAGGTACTCAGAACTCAGGGTAATAAACGTAACTGACAAACTCATGAAAATTTAAAATCTTTTTACATCAACGTTCCAGTTGAAAAATGCCTAAATCTCTTTTAAAAAAAAAGCATCAAACACAAAGTTAAACCTCTCTCTATCAACAGCTAAAATAATAAAAATGTGCCGTCTCATCTCCAATCAATGCTTACTTAGCATTTTGCTTCACCTGAAAATATAATTTCATATACGATCCACAATGAAAAATGATGGGTTTAAACTGTCACCGTACGAAACCACGTTTTTAAACCGTAAATATAACAGTGGCGTAATTGTGGAGTCGCAGAGCCGAGTTCGAATTCCAATCGAATCCATTACATTCACTTATGCGCTGATACACTTGGGAAAGCTGTGCATTCTCTTCTTCTCCCCCCAACTATGGGAAAATAGCAGGACAGAGCTGGTTCTATACTCTTTGATGGCAACTGGTCTACCGCAGAAAGAAATGCAACCTACTGCGGGAAAAAATCTGTCACGTCAGTCATGAATCGAAAGATATATGACCACCTAAGCGTGTATCACACATGGCACATAACTGACTGACGTGCTAATACCCTTGGGAAAGGTATGAATCCTCTTCATCTCCCCTCCCCACAACTATGGGTAAATAGCAGGACAGACCTGGTTCTATACTCTTTGAGGGTAACTGGTCTACCGCAGAAAGAAATGCAACCTACTGCGGGAAAAATCTGTCTCGTGAGTCATGTATCGAAAGATACATGATCGCCTGAGCGTGTATCATGCATGGCAGATAACTGACTAAAATATAATCTTTCTTATAAGCTAACTGCTAAACAAACATGGCGAATAAGGTATACATAGTACAATATAATCTTTTATTCTTTGTGTTGATCGAAAGAGACTGATCGTTTTTCTATAGCCAAAGCATTACTGGGGCGCGATGGATGAGTCTGTAGATTGGTAGTTTACTAACTTAGATCTCTGAGAGACTGTTCGTTTGACTCATTCTTTAGACTGAAGTGAATACAGAAAATAGGGAAGAAGAAGAAGAAGAAGAAGAAGAAGAAGAAGAAGAAGAAGAAGAAGAAGAAGAAGAAAGA